TTTTATGCATTGCAGTCACCTGTGTCTGAACCATCATCATCGTAAGTTTCTTCAGTGACACTGGTATTAAATAGATTGTAGAGCTTCCAGTAAAAGTGAAGCTAAAGGCTGGTAATGTTGGTTTCTTGCAGAGAGTCTGCTGAGCCACAGTTACAAAGCACTGCAACAGGTTCAAATGACTGGGTAATATTCAAAGATTCTTCGAACCCAACCAAGTATCAGTTCTGTCTGTCATCGCTTTAAAACTGTATATGTAATATACATGAAATCCTGCATAATAACAGTAGTAGTTAGTTACTTTGTCTTTGACAATATAAAGAAAACGACCAATTGTGATGTCACCTTATCAATAGACCATTGTCACACGCCATGTAAAAACAGGATTCATATGTTTTATACTGATTATAACGACATTATTGATTGTACATCATACAGAGGGCTAAATTATTGGTCAAATATAATTATCATCCATCTGGCAAAGCTGGAGATGCTCTGACAGACTGTCGCTGTAGCTACTCAACATTGTGGACATACATACTTCCAAAACCATCGATTTTAAATGCATATCTTTTATCCACTTTATTCTCTAAGGTTGCTGTGGAAAACAAGAGGATGAGAGATATGAGAGAGTCAAGGTAAGACAAAAATAAACAGAAATTAAGAAGGATTGTAATTTACACATTTTATTTTCTGGTAATTGGAGTCATGTACAAGACATTTACGTGTTTTTTTTTTACTATTATGGTTAAAAAATTGTAAACCTCTACAGATTTACATCAGATTTCGATTCCATAAAGTGTCTTGGGAAAGGAGCCTACGGTCATGTGTACAAAGCAAGAGAAATATTGCTGGACAAGAATTATGCCGTCAAGGTTGTCCGTAGTAAAGGGTAAGTTGAGTATGCAACTCTTTAGTGTACATATTTGTTTAAGTAATTTTTCAGTAACTGATTCACACCAGGATTGTCTCCATTTCCATTTTTGATCAGAAAATGTCTGCGAGAGGTGAAGGCATTATCAGAACTTTCTCACAACAACATTGTGCGATACTACACTTGTTGGATGGAGGATACAGGATACAAGAAGGACAGGTAAGCAGACAATAGCCGCTCTTCTCGGTAGGTCTCAACCACCAATACATACTCTTTTTATTTACTAAAAATGAATGGGTGACATTGCACCAAATGTTTTTTGTTTCCTATCAGGGAATCATCGCCACAATCCCTCTACATTAAGATGGAGCTATGTGACTCCAAAACACTTAGACACTGGATACAAGAGAGGAATACAGAAACTCATCGCAACTCCAAGAGAAGACAAGAGAGTCTAACCATCGCTCAACAAATAGTCAGTGGAGTCGAGTACATTCACTCCAAAAAACTCATCCACAGGGACCTGAAGGTCAGACAAAGTTCTTCCAATGTCTTTAATTGACCAGTACAGGCACTGGAGATTTGTGATTCATGTACCATCAAAGTGTTTTTGTGAACTTGCACTTACTTCCCACACATTCAGGATACATGTTGAAGGAAAACCCCTGAAGCAAGTCATGTTATTTACTGTTTGAAGCTGCCTTAGAATTAAAATTCTCAGGTTGAGTTTGTCTTTTTCATTTGAATGTTCTGCTTGGATTTTTTTGAAATTAATTTTATAATACTGAGTTTCTCAGACCATATTTTAGAACACAGTTCCATCCAGCTGTTAAGACATTTCACTCTGTCAGTCTCATAAATGCCATGATCTTATATCTGATATGGTCATATCTTTTGTGTCATCTCGATATCTGTATGGTACATCCATTAGATGTTGAGATAATTTACTTTGGAAGCAAAAGACGATTGCATTTCTTTGTTGTTTCTGGCCATATTGTTATGTCACTATAACTAGAACACCACCAAATATCTCCTTGGTGGAGATCATTACACATCATTAAAGGAGCTCGATGTTAATTGTTGTATTAATTTCTGCTTTGTCTCTCCAATGGTTAGCCTGCCAACATCATGTTTGGAAAGGATGGAACAGTGAAGATTGGAGACTTTGGTCTGGTCACTGCTGATGCTGACGATGATGAAAACCCAATGGAGCGAACTACCGAAAAAGGAACCATTTCTTACATGGCTCCCGAACAAGTGAGATGGCTTGGATTGTCCTGTATTATTGGTTTAAAATGCATCCAATGCTCCCATCCTGTACCCATTCTGTTATACAACACATTCACCCTCACATAAAACACGAACCTACATCAAATTCAGTAATTGTTTTTTCACCCTTTAAAACAGTGCAGTTCCTCTGGACACACACAGTCAGTGATGTTGAGATCAGGGGTCTCATTTATAACAGTTGCCTACACACAAAACAGGGCGTACGCCACTTCTCATTCAGACGTTGGGATTTATATAAACAAACTTTCCACACAAACTCTGACCCATGTGTACGAACACCAACAGCTTTAGTTGTGTTTGCATGAGTTCCATAAGAACCTTCAATTGCAAAAGAAATTGAACAACTTACAGCAAATTACGTTCAGATACCATTGAACAGCGGAGTTGCAGAGCCAAGCCATTAATAGTTTTAATAATATCTTCTAACACAGTGCGTGTATCATTATGGACCAGCATGCTGATGCTGAGATGATTTACAACGAATGCAATAGGTCTGTCAAAACTTCACAATTTTCAGTGATATGTCCTGATCCAGATAGGACAGCGTCTGGATCACGGCCCACCTACTAGTGACCTCTATAATACAGGATCATTATATAAGGAGACTAAGACGAGTCGAGAGTGCAAACCAGTTAGAGCTTTACACGTTAAAACTTAAGAAATGAAGACAAACAGTAGGGGAACTATTGAAAGCTGTTTTTAAGATTGCACGAAATTAAATTTACATTATATTGGCCAAAAAATATTAAAATAAATTGTTACCAATGAGAAAAGAAAAACTTTTAATAAAATGTAAAAATAGTCAGTAGAGGGTTGGTTACTTTTGAAATAACTTGTTAATATAAATGCATCACCTTAATACTGCATTATTATTTTTCTACACAAGTTTGGGAACATCTATGACCGGAAGGTGGACATATTCACCTTCGGGCTGATATACTTTGAACTCCTCTGGAAAATCTCTACTGGCCATGAAAGAGTGGAGGTGAGTTGTCCATTTACAGATTATTATTATTAAAGATCGTGACCCAGGCCAATGTCTGTTACATACAAACAGGAAAGCAGTTTAAACTTACACCAGTAGCTGAGCTCTTTTTAGTAGATGTGAAGGAGCTTTATTGTTGATCTTATTTAATCTTTCTTGCTTTTATTTGCAATGTTCAACAGAGCATTATTACGATATGCCAAGTTTACTAACTTGCCCCTTTCATTCTTTTTATCACTGCATAAACCAGGTTTTCAGAGATGCCAGAAATCAGAAGTTGCCTGAAAAGTTTCCAATTGCTTTTTCTCAAGAGGTAAAGATCCATATTCTTTTTATCCTGACTTCTTCTTTCATCACATGCAGCAGAGTTTACCCCTAAGGGTGTCAGTTCGCCATGATGGTCAGCAACAGAGGAGCAGGGAGGCTGAAATATAATATAATGACAGTAATGTAAAATATCAAGCAGCACACACAACAGTGTTACGAGAAGATTTTATTCTTTTTTTTTTTTACTTTGGTCTAGTAAAGTCTGAGTTTCAGAAATGTTGCAGAAATAATCTCGTTGCTTGAACAACGGTATTTTTTTTTCCCCAGAACCAAATAATGAAGTTGATGCTGTGTAAGGAGCCAAGACAACGAGCTGAAGCAAGTACACTTAAAGCAGAGCTGGAAAAGTTGGCTCACATACTCAACCCTCAAAAAACCGAGCATCAGCAAAATGTTACAGTCTGACAGTCACACACGCAGGAGGCTATAAGCATCTGTCTTCTCTGATTATGTATTTTGATGTAGTAACTGTTTTATACTTTTGTTGGAAAACATTTGGTAGCTTTTATTGCGCTTTAACCTGAGATCTGTAGCCCACAAACTACTCATACTCTACTACCCTCACACACACAAACAGACATTCTCACATGGCTATGACAATGGGTGGCAGTTTTGGGCTCTATGATTTGCTCAGCACACTTTGTTGTGCAAACAGGAGCATGAATGAAACATAAAATAGAGTTTATCATGATTTTAAAACTTTTAAATGAAATCACATCTTTGCTCCAGAACAGTCGTTCTCAACCTTTTCAAGTCTCTACCACAGCTGTAGCAGCCATCAGAGTCAATTATAAAGTTTTGTGTTCATTTTTTTTGGACAAAGCTGCGACCAGTCGGCCAACTCGAGTTGTGCTTCTCCAATCATGTGACACACACCATGTGACATACATCACTCTCCACATTCCTCTATAATACACACCAACCTTATTAGGCGGTCTATTTAAGCAGAGAAAATTTCCCATCAATCCCTTTGCTTGCACTGCTGCTGCGTCAGTTTCGCTGCAAGTTGCTTCAGCCCCTCCACCGCCCCAGCATCCACCTGCAAGCTTCGACGGGGGGTTTACAAGCATTTGCTCATCACTCCCATCATATCGATGTAATCATATCTGGGGGGAGTGATTAAGTCGGATCCTTGACGTCAAACACTAACCTGTTGTACTGTTGCAATAAACGCTTGAATGTGAGTTGTCTGACTGAACTGCTTTAAAAGGGATCCTGTAACTCACTCAGTGTTTTGGTGTGATGTGCATAGGTCAAAGTTCAAATCATGGTTGATTCATCTTAAGATATTTTTATGAGTGTGATAGACATTTAAAGGGACTACCTCACTACAGGCATTAGTGGTGTAATTTTGTAAGTGTTAAAGAGAGGGGTTCTGTAATTCTGTAACTATAGTTAAGGTTAAGTGTCCAGGAAATCAATGTAAGTCAATATAATTTCCTCAGGGCCAGTGTTGAGTACTTTGTGAGACGTTTTCTTCTGTGCCATGAATAATCTAACTGGTCAAATAAGGCTGGGTGATTCTACAGGACATAGACCCTGACAACCAAAGTTATTTGACCACAGAAGTGGTGACTCAACTTTTTGAGTCAGAGCCTGGACCTTAACTGTGCAGAGAAAGTAAAGACAGAGAAATTACATCCAGACTATTCTGTAGGAAGAATGATCCAAAAGTCGATGACTGTGCAGGTCTGATCCACAGCTACAGAAAATACTTTTTTGTTTGTTTTCACCAGTCACCAAGGTTGTCACTTGTATTTTATAGAATATTTAAAGGGTGTATTTAAATACTAACTAGCTATATGTCTGACTTAGTTAAACATCAGATGATATGAGCAAACCTAAGGTCATATTCTTTTCTTGCCACTGTAGTTCACAGTAGGACTCACCACATGAGGGCAGTCTAATGTTTGCTAATGACTAGTGTTTCGATGAAGGGAATGATTTGTATATAATATATCAGAAATACTTGCAGAAAACATACACTGTTGTGTTTTGGGACAATGGAAACAAAAATCCAACTACCACTGCAAAACAAATGACTTAACACTAAATAGAATATATACAGTGTAAATATAGATAATAATAATACAGCAAAACAAACTAAATGCTGGACAACAAGAAAACAAATGGTTAAAATTAAGAAGAAAGTGCAAAATCATAATCAATAAATAAAAGAACAGTAATAGCCTGGCACACCAAGTCAATTCTCTATTAGTAAGACCTGTAGGGGGAGCTGTGACTCTGCGTCGCCCAGGCTGAGCATGTGGCTGCAGACTCCGGGCCTCCTCAGCATGTAGGTGAGAAAGGTTTGTTCACAGTGAGAGGGCCAAAACCGAGGGAGCCGTGTGACATTTAATCATGCCTCCGGCGCATGCTGGATGATTAGCATCTCTGTGGAAAACAACAGTAACAAGCTCAAAATGCAGGATCCCACACAATCACCTGGCCGTGGTGCACGCAGTAACAAAGGCCCCGCTAATCAGCACAAAATCAGCTCCTGTGGCTCAGTGTGGTAACTCAACAATCACCATATTGCAAAGAGCCCTAACATTTGCTGAGAGCCAATGAATAAAAGCCACGGGTGGACGGAATACCCTTATGTAAACCTGTTTGATTCCTGGCTTATCTGTCACGGCTCTGTTTAAATATTATGGAAACAGAAGCTGTAACAAGAGGAAAAGATGCTGGAATAAACGTGTGAAAACCTTATCCTCCTCATAGAAAACACTGTGATATTTTCCTGACATCTTTGGAAGTTTTATTATTGATTATTATGTCTTTTTTCACAGATTTTTTCACTTCAATAGCTTTAATAATGGCAGGCAAGCAGTAGAGGGCGTTACTCCACCCAGGCCAATATTTCCTTTAAATTATGTCAAGCTGCACACTCATAGATGTCAGTTCCTTAAAAGTACAGTATTTTGGTCTTCAAGATCTATTAAGAATGAAATTAGTGAAAATGTCCCAAAATGCCCTATATTACAATGTTATCGAAAATTAAAAAGTTATTCCAGGACCCTGCCTATCCCTGCAACCATCTGAACCAAAATGGAAATTCATAGTTTTTGCATAATCCTGCTGACGGGCAAAAAACAATCTCCTTTTCGAAAGTAATACGATTATTCAAAATATTACTCGAATTTTCTTTGCCACTTGGGGGCAGCACCAGCCGGCGATGAACATGTTCGCTCTTGGCTGCACACTCACACATCCAACACTATCTATTTAAGTATAGAGGGTTAGCATAGGTCCTGTTTCTGCAGCAGCTAAATGTTTCTGCAATGCTCACTGGCTTGTTCCATGTTATTTTTGCAGGTTGTTTCAGTTTGTTAAGTGAACAGTCAGATGATCTGCTGCAGCAACACGTCCCTGATGTCAGTCAATACTGTAAAGATGTGGGTCTCAAAACCACATATTTGTTTTGCTTATTGGCACGTTTGACAGTTTTCCATCCTTTCCTCCATTATCTATCATGCTTATCTGTTTGAGTGTATCACAGAGCAAACAAACATTCATACTCACATTCAATGGTCAAGTCTCCATGTAACCTAACCCCAATCTACATATCTTTGGACCGTCGGAGGAAACCTGCGTACCGAGAGAAAACCCATGCAAACATGAGGAAATAGTAATTTGTCTATTTTTGATATAAAATATTGATAAATGGAGCTTTACGGAGATGAGGCATTGCTATATTTAAAAGAAATTCAGTTCATAATTAATCATTATTGTGCCCCCTCAGTAGTTACCAACCATTGTCTGCTGATTTTTTTTTTCTTTTTTCATGTGAAGACGTCATTTAGATATCAACTCTGAATCATTCTCCCCATGACATTTACACCACACAAACAATGTCCTCTCAATGCAGCAGTATCTCAGATATGAAACCTGGTTTGCTTCCAATCTTCCACTGCTATCGCGCTTGTGCGAGCAGGGTTATTCGATGTATTGAGGTCACTTCCTCTGAGAGCTGTGTGGGCACTGAAGCAGTGCTCTAGTCAGTGGCCTGCACCGTGTAGCCGGGGGTAAAATGGACTCACCAGTCAGGAGCACAGCAGCGGAGTGTCTCCCCGAAGTCCCTGGGGTCGGAGCAAACGATTACTGTGTGTGCGCGGTCTCGTTGCAGAAGCAGAGTTTGTTCTGCTCTGTGTGTTTTAGGAAGCAGCCTTGCTGCAAAGACAAAACTATCACCCACCAGCAGACATCAGAATCAAAATGACAGCTGAGGATACACGTGAGTTGTCAGATAGTATTGACATCTTCCCAGTCTGTACATATATTACAGAAGTTTCTGTTGTGCAGTTATAGCCCACTTAACCTCTAGTGAACTCCAGTTAACTGGAGCATGAGCACATGCCTCACTGAAGACCTCACTTGGCTCATTCCCTGGACTTTCCACCTCTCTAGAACCACATCCTGCCACTGTCCACTGCACTTAGGGAACACTGTCAGCAGTTAAAGGGCCACTCCAGCAGTGGATTGTATATTTAACCTATTTACTACAACTTATTGAAACTTCACATGACTGCATACCACTTTCAGACTTTCAATTCTTTTTCTTATTTCCACCCTGTCTTATAAAATATGACAATTTCAAATTGGTAAAAACAAATAATTTTTTTTTATATCTGGTATCTTCTTGACTCATTATCTTATCTTATCTTATATACCAGAAGTAAAGCCATTTTGATCACCACCCTAACCCATAAAATCCATCTCCTCCATGTTAGCAGATAGGACATATGCCAAACTACACAGTCAAAGTTCACGTCAAATAAATGTTTGTCGTTTGTCATCTGTCACCTGTGAACTTTAGAGTGTTTACTT